AAAAAAAAAAGTAGAAGCGAATTCACGACTTGTCGGACGCCGGCGGCCAGACGGACTACGGGGATAAAATATAATATTATTACGGCCCTATGTCCGAATCAGCGGCGTAACGGCGATGCGAGGTAAAAACGCGAACGGACGGAGACGGCGAAGCGAACACGACGCACTGGCTCGGTCGGCTGCGGCACGTCCGGACCACACGACGATCAGGTCTTCGTCGGCGTGCGCGCGGCATAATATCCCCTCACTACCGCTACCGACACAGCTGTTGGCGGCGGCGTCGGCGTCGGCGACATCGCGCGCGCGTTTCGTTTAATTTTCATTTTCATTTCTTTTCGTTTTTTTCCTTTCCCCTCCCCCCCCCACCATTTTCACGCTCGCCACAAGCTCGGCGGTTCTCCTCTCGAACCTGTTGATCCACCGCGCCAATATAATATACATATTATACGAAATTATAATATTATATCATATACCGACACGTCGCCGCCGCCGCCGTCAAATAAGGGTCCGTTTACACTTTACAATATACGTATTATATCATTATATAGAGCATTATAATAGGTTTTGGGTATAACAGCGGGTTACAGGTATTATATCGTGGTACCGCTACCATTTATGTAATCGGTATCCGCTGTGTAGCTATATATGTGCAGAATATAACAATATGCACACCGCCGATTTCATAATTTTTCATTCAAAATAGGGTAGATACAAAAATGTTATTCGAGACATTKCCGTTCTAAGTACAAATTCGTATTTCTAAAACTCTTCTTATTCCATAATTTATTTTATTTTTTTGGAGGGGGAGCCAAATTCGATATCCATAAGAAAATTTTAGTAAAAAAAATTGAATTCGCATTAATATTAGAAATGTATACCTATTTAAGTACTCAAAAAGAAAATCCCTAATTTAGAATGCATATAATTTTGTATATATAGAATACTTAATATATTCCATGATTTTTTTTTAGTAAATTTATAATTCACAGCCCTATAGTTAAAAGTATTTCTAGTTAGTATACATATATATTGCCTGATTCTTCTTTCAACTGTCGTGCTTACCCGGCGTAATAATTGTAACCGTTCTAAATACTTGTGACCTATAACTGTTGGATCATTTAAATGTATAATATACCTATCAAATGGAACCTGCCATTTTTCAATGCGCAATTTAAACAGTCTTGTAATTATACATAGCACGCAGACGTCCACTATAAATTCAGACGCTTTTTAAACGCGTTCAGACAATTACATGTCAAATGAAAGTATTTTATTCCTTCTACAACAGTTCCGCATACCTAAACATTATGATTAAGTAAATCATCGTCAAAAAATAATATGATGATGTACCAGTATTAAATAAGTATAGTTGTCAATTGTTATACTTTAACTATCTGTTYCGTTCAAATCATAAGCTGAAGATTAGAAAAAAAAAGATAAACGTAGTTGAACTTTATATTAGTTATACAGTTATCGTTAATATTTCCATAAAAATATAGATTGTTCAAATTCAGCAGGATCTTCGAAAATGTTTTAAAGTAAAAGTTAAATTTTGATGTCGGATGCATAGTGAAATGTAAACAAGAAGGACTCAATTAATAATGATTCTAACTGGTATAGGTATATTTACGTTGTTCGATACTAAAAAATATTGGTGTTTAGAATGTTCGAAGTTTTATTAAATTTTATGGTATC